TCGAATTACTGTACCTTCCGCAAATGCAATATACTCCCCAGTGTTGCGGGTTTGCCTACCCGATCTGCCCCCGTTATGCCGTAGCCCCTTGGGTATGCAAACCCGCAACACTTGAGAGTTTTAGCCTTTTCACTCGGTACATACTCACCATAATACGCAGAATCTTGTTCATTTTAGAGAGATTCGCGTCCTGATTTTAAAATGGGTCCACATTATTGTACTAGACAGGTAGGTACGTAGCTCATTTGGTAGAATGTACTTTTTGTCATCGATGTTGTGCGTTGTGGTGCGGGGCGGCGGGGTGGCGCTGGTCGCGCCTCCCTCCGCCAGGGCGCGCTGTCGCTGCGGCGCGCGGCGCTGGGGGCGGCGGGCGGGGCGGCGGCGGCAGTAGGCGCCCAGCCCCGACGCCAGCACGACCGCGCCGCCCCGCCGCCCCGCCGCCACGCCGTGCCGCCGCCCCGCGCGCGAGTCTGCCGACGCAACGCGAGGCCCTCCGCGACCAGCGCCAGCGCGCCCTGGATACTGTGGAGCCGGCGAGGATTACCGAAGTGTGTTGTGAAGTGCTAGCAGTGTGTGTGCGAACCCTCAAGTGGTTGCGAAGTGATTGCCGCCCGTCGGTCAAGTCTGTCGCTGTCTGATCCGTGTGGATTGCCATCGGCTCGTTTGAAAGGTGAGCAGTTGGTTTGCTCATGGTAGTGCTCCCCAGCAAGGGAAATCCTCAGTAAAGAGATTGCGAAGCGGAGGTGAATTGTTTGCGGTATGGGGTCTCGGTTGAACAAGGGCCGAGGCGGTGTAGATTCCTATTTCGGTGGAGACAATCGGAGGTCCGGTCAGGACGAGGGCTTCCGTTGGAGCGGAGCCTGTACACTGTGAAAAATATCCTCGTAAATTTACATTTTTGATTTTCAAAGTATGTCGCAAATTTACGACAGCCCCTTCCTCCTCGTCGGTCAATTCCAATTCGATAGAGAGTACTTGTAAATTTACAATTTCAAATTGTAATTTTACGACTTTTATCATGAAATATTTTCCCGTAACCCTTACTTTTCACAGTGTTCGTGCGAGCGAGCTGAGGTGTAATAGAGGTTACACCATCATACCTCATGCCACATCCCGCCCCGCCCCGCCTTGCCTCGCCTCACCCCGCCCCTCCCCGACAACTTGAATGATTTGCTCTAAAGACCGGAGGTTTTCAGTGCAAACTGTTCTGAAAGCATAATGGTGTTCATTTCCCCGGTTGCTGCTGGCGCGGCTAGAGAGCCTCGCAGAGGCGGGGCGAGGCGCGGCTAGTGTGGACTGTGTAGCTCGCCTGTGTGACTGCGGCTGTGTGCAGAGCGCTGCCTGATGACGGACCGCGCAAGGCGCGCGTCACTGGGACGCCGCACCGACTGCAAGGAGATCACGACTTTGGGAAACTGACTTCCACGCCGTCCGCGCCGTACTGCGCCCGCAGGAGACGGAGCAATGCGCCATAGTCATAGTGCCGTCGGTGCAGGGCGAGCAGCGGGACGTGGGTGGTAATCCTCGTGACTTAGATACCAACGCTCCCCACCCTCTCTCTCACACACAAACACACTTGCGCGCCCTGGCGCCTGGCGCCGCCCTATCCCTCTCAGGGCGGTTTGCCGAGGAGGTGATTCCGAATTTATTATTCCCTGAATAAAAAGCCCGCCGCCGCCGTCGGCCGTCGTGTGTATTCGGGAGTAACAAAGGAGTATGGCGGGGCGTGGCGGGGCGTGGCGGGGTGGCGCGGGGCGGGCCGCCAGTCAGCCGTGGTCTAATCCTCCCCAGCTACGCCTCGAGGCGGCGGTGGCAGGGGGTAAATATTACATCCACCCGCTCCTGCATCCACGTCTCGCCCCGCCACGCACCGCCGTGCCCCGCCAGGCCACGCCACGCACCCAGTATCCAGGGGCGCACACCACTCCTCTATACGTACCACGTCGCAGCGACCTGCGCTGGAAAAACGCCAGAATAGGAATATACAAGTCGTGGTGTCTGAGGCGCCCCTCCTGTGCGCGCGGCCCGGGGCGCGGAGGTGCGCGGTGGGCTGCCGACCTCCAGCCATGCTACCTCCACCTCGAGGGCCGTATCCTGACCAGACAGGGAGGGAGGCGTGTGCGGCGTGTGTGGGAGAGAGTGTTTGCTGGTGCCACATGCCACGACATTTCAGCCCCAGTTCGATACACATTCCTTCAGCCCCCCTTGCCCGGTCCCCTGGCATTCCCTTCTGGTTATTTCACCCCCTCCCCCCTCCATGTCCCGCCTGTCCCGGAATGGCCCTGCCCCCCTCCCTTTTCCTCCCCCCTCTCCCCTCTCCTCCCGCTTTCCCCAGACGAGTTTTGTCCTGCGCTGTCCGAGAGTCGACCTGTTTTCTTTTTCCCTTTTTCTCCGTCGTGGAAACTAGTGACACTGATGACACAGCTGTCAGCCGAGCGCAGCCGCGGCGGAGGCTAAAGGGGGGTGCTCTCTCTCTCTCTCTCACTATCTTTCTCTCTCACTCTCCTCTCCCTCTCTCTCTCTCTCTCTCTCTCTCTCTCTCTCTCTCTCACTCACTCACTCACTCACTCACTCTCCCTCTCTCTCCCCTTTTTGTGTATTTTTCTTCTCGCTCCACTGTCGCAGTGCTCTTCGCCCCGCCCAAAAAAATTGCACAAATAAAATCAGAATAATGCTTGATTACTGGTTATTATTTATTCGTCCTTGATAATCCATGGCTGGTCCCGCTGGTTTGTGGCCTCCGCTCTGCGCTCGGCGCCTGGAACAGACAAGCGCGCTGTGAGTGACTGCGGTGCGCGCCCTTCGGCTTCTCGCGCTGACCAGCCCCCCGCGCAGCTAGACACGGCTCTATACCACCTGAACCTTCCCTGATTCTGAGCTGTGCAGCCCAGCGCGGGCTCTCCTCCGCCTCCCGGCGTGCATTTCACATTATCATCCTGATTCTGTGTTGCTTTCTTTTGAAAGTGCCGCCCCGCATTGCCCGGCGCCTTTGCCCGGGCTGAATGGATTTCGTCCAGAGTGGCCCCGACTCCGCAGCCGCTATGCGCTTCCCTGGGAGTGCACCTCGATATGTCGAGCTCTCGTTGGAGCTCTCAGTCGAGCTCTCGCACCCGCTCCAGAGTAAGCTTTCCTAATCAGATCTGGCCGCTCGGACTGGTACATTACCCGGGCGGGCGGCATGCTTCTGCACTCTAATCCCATTATTCGCAGACTCTCGAGAACGATTCGCTGCGTTGTCTCTTGTTGGGTTTTTTTAGCGAGGGGGCCACGATGTGGACACGAACGAGTTCAATTTTAGCAGTGAACGTTAAAAGCTCGCACGTATACATAATGTACCTCTTATAGAAGCGCAATATGGGTACGGGCCCCATATGGAAGTTGTGTGCAAAGTTTGTGGCCCCCTCGATTGCCACCAGCCGATGCCGTCGCCTGTTTAAAGTGCTAAGCAAAGTGGCTTCTTGGCCTTGGTCCGGCACCGCTCGCCGTCCCTACCGCCGCCCCCGCCCGCTCCCGCCGCGCTGTTGGCCGCACTGGCGCCTGCCTCGTGACTAGCGCCACGGGGCTCCCGCGGGGACTCCCCGGTGGGAGCCCCCGGCCGCCCGCTGGGTACAGTACCAGCGCAAGAGCGGCAGCTAACCCAGCCACCGCGGTTGTTGAATTTCGAACTTTTTGACACACTGAAGGGTTCTCACGAACAACTGTTTTTAAGGACTTTGTACTAGGCGTGCACTTACCCGCTCAGACGTAGACGCCGTGCTCGTCGAGGAGGGTGTCCTGTTCTCGCCCGGTCCATCGCAGGAAGGTCCTCGCCGCGTCGGGGCCGTCGCCGAGCGCGCGGTGCGCCGACACGGACAGCACGGCGTCGACGCGCAGCCCGCCGGCCAGCACGCCCGTCTTGTAGCGGATGTTGTCGGGCGTCAGCTCGTCAGCGAACTCGGCGGAGAAGCCCGACGCGTCGAACAGGTAGACGCGCCGGCCGTTGAGCTGCTTGATCTTCTCGGCGAGCTCGCGCTGGTAGCCGACGCTGGCGTGCACGAAGGCGCAGCACTTGTCGACGTCCTCGGCCGTGGCCATGGTGCTGTCGTGGGTCTGGGACTGGGCGCTGGAGGCGACTACTGCAGCAGCGGCCAGCACCAGGGCGGCGGCGAGCGTGCGTGCGGACATGCTGCGCAGCGGGGCTCTCGGGCAGAGATAGCTGTCGGGCTGTCGGCCGCCTCTACTCCTATGGCCGCCTATCTCTGCCTCTGCCCGCGCCGCCGCCGCCTCTCCCCGCCGCCGGGCCCATGGCCGGGCCGCCGTGTGTTTGACATTGCGGCCGCCAGTCCTCGCTGCGCTCGACTCGCGCGATGCTGCGGTTGGCACAACTGGCCGTTCTCCCCCTCCTCCCCCCCTCTCCTCTGGGCCGTACATTGTTTGCTATCTGACGCGTTGGGCTCCGACACGCCACCGACCGCACCTTCTTATCTCATAGCCGCACTACTTTGGGAGTCGATCGTCATTCGGGGCCCGGGACGTGGCTCCGGTTCACGTTGAGCGTTCTGTCCGCTCCTTTTCCGGCCGCGCAGTGCCCCCCCCCCCCCCCCCCCCCCCCCCCCCCCCCAGCGCTCTGGACGCGACAGCATAGCTAATTACCATCGGCGGCCGGATGGACGGAACTGCATAAGCGCACCGGACACCCGCCCGCGGCCATCCGTCCGTCCGTCCGTCCGTACAGCACTTTGTCTGTCTGTCTGTCTGTCTGTCTGTACGCCCCGTTCAGCCCTGGCAGGCTCCGCAAACATGACGACGACGGCTGCGTCAAGTCACGACGCACATGCGAATCCCCCAGCGGGAGCGGTGCACCGTGCGCGCTCTGTGTGTGTGTGTGTGTGTGCGCGCGCGCGTGTGTTTCTGTGTATGTGTGTGTGTGTGCGTGATCGTGCGCGCGTGTGCTTGTGTGTGTGTGTGTGTGTGTGCGCGCGCGCGTGTCTGTGTGCGCAGGCCACGTGCCGGGCGCGGAGGGAGCGCCGCTTCTGGATCAGGTGTCCGTAGCGTGGACACTGGCTACAAAGCTTCCGAGGGGGAGTGGCGCGGGGCGGGGGAGGGGCATGATTTGATATGGAATGAAGACATACACAACAACGCACTCCCCAGCCCGGCCCTCTGATCGATATGAGAGGGACGGGGGGGAGGGGAGGGAGGGAAGTCAGCTTGCGTGCCGGGTGTCGTTGTGGACACAGTGTCCAGGCGCGTCGGAGCCGCCACCCTTCAGGGCAGAGCGGAGCCGGGCACCCTCTCACCCACCCCCTCTCCCGCTCCAGCGCCCGCTGCCTCCAGTGAGTACCCGCGCTAGCGCTCTATCGGACCCCAGCCACTATCGGCCCTCCCATTCCAAACGTCTCCTTTTTTTATATTTTTCCAGC